ATGAGTGCTATGGTAATAGCTTATACCCTATATGGGAAATTTGCTAAAAACTAGATTCAGGTGTTTGGCAGTTAACCGCAGCCCCTTAAAATTCACACATGTTGGATTGAAAGTATTTTCACGGGATTCAATAGTAAAATACAGAGTATAACAATCTATAACTAGCATTACTTTTAGCTATCTAGAAAGTAGGCATAACCATTTTAAACTAAACTTGCATTGTATGTTTGATTGAGTAGCAAACAGACAGATACAGGTACTACTGGTATAGTTAGGGAGTAATATTAGGTTTGGGAACGTGTATTCATCTCAGCACTTGGTAACTGGATTGTGTGAAAACTAAATACACGTGTTGTATTGCACTTGCAATACAGGTTATGAATATGCACCTCTGGTATTGGAGTTGTACGACATGATAGAGAAGTCATGTTTCGCTGTTGAACATGCAGCCGCGCCGTGCATACATGTTTATTTTGAATAATTTATAATTTAGCTGTTCGGATGGGAGCACACAAGTACAGTAGGAATGCATATATGTGTCTAATGATTAATACTAGAGGTCGTCCAGTGGTTGAAACTCGACCAAAAATATGGTAATGATAAAATATTGAGCGTAGGTTTTTGCCCACATACTATTTTCACTTTAAAATGTTTTTCTACCGTAAAGGATCTGCGTTATCGAAAATATGTAATCTTGAACTATACTAATAATAGCCTACTATGGTACAATTTACCTTGTTCAGTAATCCAAAATTTTGCTTGACCTTTCACCCCACACTGTAAACAAAACATGTGATTGGGATTTCTTATTTTTTTTTATTATTTTCTGTTTAAATGCGTTGTTATTTTGTCACCATTATGGCAACCCATAAGGTTCATGTAAATTTTTTAAAATTATTTTTTTTTGCTTTTTTAGGTTATTTTAATTTATGAAGTGATTCTGCACATCTATATGAAATTATCTTTCTAACAATATGCGTAGATTTTCCCTGCGATGCACACGAGCTGAGAAAAGGGTAAAAATAAACATGCTGGCTAATTAATGTATAGATTCTATCTTTTATGAAATTTACATATTTTTAGAGGTATGCCTATCATCATTGTGGATCCGCTAATCTTATATATTAAAACGTGACAGGGGTTTTATTTCACGATTCTGAATGGTGATTCAGAATCAAGTGTATAGGTACATTTGATTTTTTGTTGAAAGAAAGATAATTTTAAAAGGTATGGAATTTCGCAGCCATAATTTTAGTTCATTGTTTCAGTTTTTTAGAAATCATGTTTCAATTTTTGAAGTAATTGCTTAACCATATCTATCGTACTTAGGTGTATAAGGACATCTCTGTAACAATAAACCGTACATTACTGTGTACAGGTTCAAGGTCTAGTAGCGGGAACGGGCTTGGCAGATAAAAGAGGAATATTGGATTCGGAACACGCATCCCTTAACTCAAGGCAACTCTCCCCTCGCACGCCGAGGCTTAACTGTGGAAATCAAGAGTCTGGTGCACCAGGGATTTTATCTCCGAGAATCAGGTAACAAATAAAACAATATACAAAAGTGTGTATAGGCTTTTGGCTATACTACATCGTACAATGTACTTTTACGAGTACTGGTTTTAATTTGGCTGGAGATCATAAAGCATATCACTACTGCAAAATTTTACCAAAAATATGTTTATTCGACGTGTTAAGATACGTAATAATCAAGTTTAAATATTCTATCATAAATGGAGACGAGTTGTTGGAAAATTTTGATCTAGCCACAGACGAACGCAAAGAAAACTGCGCTCTTTGGATAAATGTTTATATGGAGTGTTTTAAAAATTTTTTTCTACTAAAGAAATAAACCAAAATGGATGCCTATATTGTTAACTGTCACTATCATAAAGCTAGGTTCTGAAATTCCTTAAGCTTGTTTATTTCAACACTTACTGTACTGTATTGTGCAAGACCAGTGTGAAGAATTACTTTTTATTTATTTACAGTATTGCATTTTTCACGTGTTTTTTTTAAAGAAAGGTTGGTAATTCAGGTCTTGGCACGACTTGTCGGCATTTTGTTAGATCGTTGGAACGATAGTTAATTAATTACAAATGGCATCCAAGTCCTAAACCAATCTCGTTTGGAATAGAACCAGCGACCTTTGAATGCGATCAGTATAATCACTCGGTTACCCAGACAATAATTGTAAATCCTTGTTCAGATCATTCGTTCTTAGAAATCATAGTTTTTGTAACTACACTAAGTTTAGGGCAATTATATATATATTTTTGTAACATGCACCTAACCTACAACCATGCATTTATGTCAAACAATTACTTCTATAAAACTACGTACCCGTACGTGGGCGTGCCCTTCCAAATATAAATAGCTGATTAAAAAAAACATAACAATTAAACCATTGCATTATCACTTATTAAGGTGACAGTTTTTCAATACAGCACAAGCTTACACATCGCTGGAGAAGTGTCAATTTTTTTCGTTTATGTACACTTTTATGGTGCTATAATAAATAATGATTGCAACAGCGACGCCCAAAATAAAAAACGAAAAAATACACAACAATTAAAAAAAATTCTCCTATTGTGTAAACAACTTTAAATAATAATACCTACTAAGCATTAAATAAAAACGATATTTTACAAGACAAACATTATGAAAAAAAAGATCGCAAAAAAGAAAAAAGAAAACAAAAGTACAACAAAACAATAATCGTAAACATCTAAATGAACGCTAAAACATACTAGCTGATGTTGTATAGCGTGTTAACAACACTAGTGAGTGTTACAAGAGCCAGAACAACACTTGCACAACAACAACTGTTGAAGTGTTGAAGTATAGTTAGTGCAACAGTAATATCGTTATACTTGTTAACACAGGTAGAGCATGGTGCTCTAACTTCAAACTGCTACCTTCAAATCTTCTCAACTTTGTACCTCATCAATGACGTAGCTTGTGTGTCGTGGTTGGAGGTAAAAGATTTTTTTAAATATGCACGTGGTTATCAAGCTCATTCGTTGAAATACTTTTACATAAGTTATGTTAAAACACTTTGGAAATATGTGCAAAGCAAATTTTTGACAATACGGTTATTTAGTCAGCGTATTTAGTAAAACGTATGATGTAACTGGTATTTTGGGGCAACTATTTACTGGATGTCGGTAGATAAATAGATTACTTTTTATAAGTAAGCTGAGACCCTTTGTAAAGGAAACTCTCCTAGTGATCAGAACTTGTAACCAGAAATTTTTGTTGGGTGTTGTTAAGTTTTATTGGAGGGTTGTGTGTGTTAAAACAGTTAAAACCTACGAGAATAATTTTACATGAAAGAATAAAACATCCCAAATCAAACGAATCAAATCCAAGAGTTCAAGAATCCAAGAATCAAACGCACCAAATTTAAAAGTAGCCATACTTTTATAATGGTTACTTATTATGGTACTTATTATGGTTATAATTTTATTATAAATTAATAGTATTAATTTATGAACGTACCAGTGATGTGTAAAGGCTTTGAAAAGTTCAATTATAAACCTGTTGAACTTTTCTACACTACTTTCTATCAATAATTCAATACTTACTGTTATTGAACCGTTATAAATCGTAGAACGGATAATGCATTTGGATGAAGTATCGTGTCATAATTTAAGAATACATTTTCAAGATCATTCTCTGTCACATGCGCTAGTTGGCAACGATCAGAAACAAATAGAGAGATTAAAGCAGGTTCTGCTCTTGAACACAAAACGTTCTATGCGAGCTTGAAAAATATTTGTAGAAATTAATTTCCTGATGTTTGATAAAATTAAAATTTTAAAATAATAAGAACAGAAATAGGTAATTTTACATAAAAATACAACATTCAATGTAGTGAATGAAAGCAACGTTCATATTTGCACGCAAAATGAAAAAAAGAGTTAGCCTACTTTCTTTTAATCCCGATACTGTACAAATTTTCTGATTGGAAAATTGATTTCAAACAGTTTTTTTTTCAATTGATTCACCATGTTTCTTCTTTCATCCAACCACCACTTGAGTTCCGATTATACTTTGGCCAGTTCAAAGCAAGCATTTTTACGGTTTGAACTGTAATTTAGACTGAAGTGTTTTGATTGGCTTTAACAAAAGTGTCACTAGAATAGATAAACAAATTATATGCTTTTTGTTTAGGTATTTATTTTGAAACATGTAAACGTATTCCATTGATACAATTTGACGCCGAGAATGTACTGAGCAGTTTACTTTTGTACCTTACTAATTAAGCTCATGTTTTTCAAGACAAAGTCAGATAGTAGTGACAGATTTGGGTTATGACCCTTTCTACGGTGACTAATTTACGATATTTATAATTTTAGCAAGTTCAAGTCAGCGATTGTGTTTCACATCATTTCAGGCTAGACATAGAGGTACTAACAAAAATTATGAAAATCCATCGGTGATTTCCAGGATATGAAAACCGAGACCGAAGCCATGCGCTAAACAACTATACCAGTTCGCTGATAGTTTCACATACCTATGGTGTTATTGCAAACACAAACTATATCCACAATTGCAAATTAATTTCATCTTACGATTGAAGAATGCATTGGAAAACAGAATTAATTGCGATTCCAGGACACTTTATAATCTCGAATACACTCCAACAAAGTAATCATATCCCTTACTCAAACATACATGATTACCACGGTCACCCAAACCAACACGGCCGGACGAATTCCAACGTTATTACGACCGGTCTGAAATAATTACTCTCCAATTGCCACTTTATTGAGTTAGTCCACTCCATCTCGCTGTGACTGTTGAAATCATCAGCAGTCAGAAGTAATCGGACAACAATCCGTTGCATAAAATATACACAACTGTTCCAGGTGATAGTGTGTTCGTGCGTGTTCGGACGAGTTCGGTAATACTCGGGACGAGGTGGGAGGAATGGAATGATCAGTAGTCCGAACTCGGAGTCCGAGTCCAGTTTCAGTTCAGTGTTGTAGCGCGGTTGTTGAAGATCGTTCGCGACGGTCTGTTTCGTGTTCGTCATCACTGAAAACTTAGCTCAGTGATCAGTGAGTTGAGTGATGAGTTGAATGTTGAACCGCGTGAGTGCAGTGGATTGTGTCAGTGACTGTTGTATTTATGTTGCCTACAGAATTGTAAGTATCACGTGTTTTAGTGTCATTCATAAATACACTAAACACTTTAAACTACTGTAGTTACATTGTTGGAATAGTTTTATTGTTGCACAAATCAACATTATGAACCGGCGTGTTCACAACGTTGAACAGATGGCGTGTGTGATAGGCCTATAAATCAATACTGTGCTCTCAAGGGTCAAGAGTTTGTGATAAAACTTGTTTTGCTTGTTTCCGCTCGATATATTTTATCAATTAGGGTCTTGCAATTTATCACTTTGCCCCCTTTCTCTTGGTTGTTATCGCTGTTGGGGATATTTTGCTGTTTTCGTAAACGTGGGCTTTTCTTTTCGGTTTTGAGAGGGAGTTAATTCATATTTGTGGATAAGTCAATATCGATATGTAATCAAATAGGGATTCAAAAGATATCATAGTTTGTGCACTTTATTGTCAAGAATGAGTTGTATACAGAATTATCGTCAACATAACTAGTTTACATAACTGGTTTAAAAGCCTACATGCTTAAACACAGACCCTTCAAAACTTAAATAGGCCTAGGAATAAGAGTATTAGAATAAGATAATTGTTGACTTATCCTATTTCATTTTTATTTGCAAATATTTTTATCTCGAAAGGGTTTTCTGACCAATTGAGCACTCAAAAACCACAATGAAACAATATACAATGTCATTAACAGTCCAAAAACGAATTTTGCTGCTAAAATTTGAGGAAACACCACAATCAATTGAAATACATTCTAACGATATTTGATACTAGCAGTTAGATCGAATATCTTTCGATACTTACGTACGTGCAGTAGGCCTATTTCACAGAATGGGATATGCATTTAATGCTTCAAAACTCATAATACTATCGGTTTTAAAGGCCGGTGACTATAAAAGCTTATATCTCACAAAAAAAGAGATTTATTGCTTTTTTATTGCTCGCTATTTTAATGCCACACACATATTGAAAATTTATTTCACAAATGATTACCATAATTATTATTATTGCAATAAAATTGTTCTACATCAAAATAAAACCATATCCATGGGAGTGTTCTGCCAGCACAGTATACGGTTGTATTTCATTGCGTACAGGGGTTTGTAGGCAAAGTGAGTACAGTATCTGTTTTGCATCCAGCCTATTGCAGGCGCAACCCTCTAAACGCGGCTCCCTTAACGTAATGTTGGCATTTCATGCAGAGTAAAGCACATATTTTATGTATTTTTATTGTAAAGCTAATACAATCATTTCTTTAATCATATTAAAAATTATTTAGTTAGCCTATAAGGATTAACCTACATTATCTATATAATTAATACGCTACATGAAACTTTGTCGGTTGAACTCCTCCGCCATTTCTTAACCGATTTTATCCATTGACGTCTCATTGGAAAGAGCGTGTCGCGTAGATTTGCAAACTGACCTTACATTTTTGAAAAGGTCCCTTGGGCTCTGCCCCAGTGGCTGTCAAAGTTCCAATGTTATCCTTATGGATGACGTAATTGTTTACATTTTGATCAGCTGTATAATTTAATTGCTGTTATTTATTTTTCAATTCAAAGTCTTTTAAACTCATCGGAAATTATGATCACTTTTATTTTATTTTTTTAATAACTACTTTACTTCTTTGCAATTGCTCGATTTCAAACAACGTGTTTACTAGTATAAAATTAAATTATATGTTTGTAGTGGTTGTTCTCTGTACCGCATATGTTATTTATACGATGGTACAGTAAATTACAAATAGGCTACAATAAATTAATTTAAAAATAATATTAAAAATAAAGCATTTCCCTTAAACAAATACAGATACAGAACACAGTATGTCAGACATTGATAAACAATAGACCTTCACATTTAGTCGACTACAGTTTATTTCTTTATTTTAAGTATTATATTTTATTACGGCGCTTGAGTTATCAGCCTCGATTATTTTCTTGCAAAAACATGTTTGACGTGAATCTAAAGATGATCTTAGCAACAAGTTTAAATAAAATAATATTCCTTTCATAGGTCTTATTTGTCAGGAATTCTGTGATTGTTTGCAAAATCTAATTGGGACTAAATAAACTAATAAAAAGAGTAACAATAAAAACTGGGGTTATTGTAAAATAATTTAAAGATAATTACCTTAAATGCTGGAAAGTGATAAAAAACTAAATCGGATAGGATGATAAAATATATAAAATTTCCACAAGATCGTTTGATTGTACCCTACGTAAAATAAAATCAATAATAAATATTAATAATTTAGTGGCTTTACGAGAGAGTTATTTTTTCCAAATGACCTTAAAGTTTGCTTCGATAGGTGAAATCAAGCTTCAGCTGAAATGGATTCCAAACAATTGGAGTCTTAGCAAGTTCGCATTTAGTGACCGGAGGGGTATGAACGAAACCCTCCAAAACAGATGTTCGTATTTTAGCTAGTAGAACAAACGCACCTCTGAATCCATTTTAGCATGACACAATATCATTTTATTAATACAATATAAGTATATGAGTTAAATTTCAGGTAAATTTTATATACCAGACATATGAATGTTAAAAAAATCAACCAAACAGAATAAACAAAAATTGACAGAACAAAACATTAAAAATAATTCTAACGTAAAAATTAACCACAAAATTGCCAAGAGAACGTTGTTTAGTATAATAGAAATGGTAAATAACTGACATTTAACTAATCAAATATACATTAGGTAAGCATTAATTGGTAATGCGTTTATGAAGTGGTATTTATGATTGGAAACCAATCAATTAATTTAATAAATTACAATTATCGAGTAATTCAACAGCATTATTTTCATCCACCTTCCTTTATCGACATTTTTATGTTTGTCATTGAAATAAAAACTAGCTGAATTTGAAACATTTAAAATTAATACAACTCATAGAACTTAACAAATTTGGGTCTATGCAATATAAGACGCTAAGCATTCTGAATCCATCTTATAAGCATAAAAATGAACAAGGAAATGTGTCATGTTTTAAAACCAGTAAAAATTCCAAATAGGTTGTCATGAATAATCAAACCACTTCTATTTCCTTAAACGCATTTCATTTTTGATCAATAGTCTTGTTTGTTTTTCGCAAATGTGCTATTGTTTCAGTCAGAGTTACCTTTTGAGGAAATCACATCATTTTATTGCCTATTGTATTGTTTACCTTGTGTTTTCACAGTTCGACAGTATCGTATTTTCTCGTTAGCCAAAACTATATGAGATAAACCCACCTTCACGACTTCCTGTGTTGGAGGTTTAGCCAAGTTTATCCCTAAAAATGTATATTAAACTACTCTTAAATATTTTATATAAAGAAACAATATTACAGACAATGCTCGATGAAAAGGGATATCTTAAACAAACTACCCTTTGTTTAGCTCTAAACTCATCAGCGTCTGATATTTATAGTATTAACAGAACCGATGTGTTTCTCGTAGCAAAACTCTTTATGTTCTCAGCAAGCCAACATACTTCACGTGGATCTAAGATTATTATTTTCTTTTAGTGCATATTTTTCCATGTAAATTCAATAGAAGAAAAACTTGAACTCACGTCTGCATGATCGCTGCAGTAAGGTATATATTTTGGGTTAAGTCTTTTATAACAAAATGTTTTTGTAATCTCAATTCCAAAATACTTTTTCATTGTCTTTTCACACTTGGCCATCTTGCCAGGAAACAAGGGATTCCTAAAGGCCAAACCACGGTGGAAAGACCCATAAATAGACTAGTGGACTGGAAGGTCCATTAATCCAGCGGTCGTGGTCAGAGATTTAGTGCCCTTAAAGGTCACGTGGTCTAGTCTGGTCAAACAGATAACGGCGCCTAGTAACCACAATACCAATACAACTAGGCACTACATGTTGTTAGAAAAGTGTTATTATTAGGGTTGATGACTAAAGTGTTTTTTTAGTGATTAATACGCATATTAAGTCGAGTGGGTAGGTTAGTTAATTTATCGTTCAAATAAAAAAATATCTTTTTCATCAATAAAAATACTGTGCGAGGTCATTTTATTTATGACAAAGACGCATGTTCAACAAAGAATGTGTTTTGAATCTGTTTGAAAAATTGACGACAGTTAAAGATAATACGGGGGTTTTCAAAGGCAAACCAAATTACAAGTATTGAGGGTCTCATTTTGGGATTTTAAAATGTCACATTTCTGGCAAGTCTGCTTCCTTAACTTCATCACCAATCACCTGATATTCATTGTTTGGTTGTTATCTACATAGATTGGCGTAACTGGGAGTTTATTGTATGAAAACAACCCCTGTTTAAAATTAATTAATGCACATGACAAAATGAGTATCGTATTATTGATCTTTGCATTTTGTTCAACCTGGTGTTGATTTATTAGGTACTGGAATCTCACCTGGAAACTTAATTGTAGACTTTTCTTGGCATTAAACTGATTATTTAAATTTAATAAAATACATAAAATACTCTTTAAGCTTGCGAAAACACTATGTGAAATCTTAATCACAATATATTCTCAACAACATTAAACCTTGTAGATAACAATGCAAAAATACATGTTAGCTTAGGTTTATGTAAGGTAATGGAAGCAGGGTTGCCAAAATATGGGTTTGTTTCATCCCTATGCAGTTAATCGATTTACTTGTAATTTGGGGTGAGTTTAGGAAAAAAAAATCCAGTATAACTTTTGAGTCTACATTCAATCTTGAAGTTGTCTCATAACAAAAATAAATCGCAACTGAACTTACGTTATGATTTTAATTATTTGTTACATATAATCTTTGACTGCCAATAGTCAATGATATAATCTAAAGGTTACTGTAGTATATTTGCTATTCGTTATGAAACAAACTGAACAGGAAATGTAATTTTCGTCTGAAAACAATTTTTCGGGAAGGTACAGCAACGTTGGCACTAGTTCAGACTTCGCTGGCTGTTAAAACTTATCAGCCAACCAGAGCTCGGTATAAAGTACATTACATTTCATTAGCCAGTTGTAACTACAGTAGTTGCATTCAAGTGCTGGCATTGTCAT